AATCCATTATTTGATATGCCTATTTGTCAATTATGCATAATTTTTTTTTAAATGTGACCAAATTTATAGGACATGCTGTATATAATGAACTGAATCAGAGAAAACATTTAAAGCAGCTATGTTAAAAATTGGCAGAATTTAACTTTAGTATGGCAGTTTCTATTATTAAATAATGAAAAATTGAATGTAACTATGCTCCTCACATTGGGGAAAAAAAAAAAAAAAAAAAAAAGGCCCTCCAAATTTTGATTGGACGCACATACTCCTTCACTCGAAGATAAGCATCTCATAGCCCGAATTTTGAATTCTGAATTTCTTTCTTATTTATTTTATATTTTGTGCCACTCTTAATGAAATATTTTGTGCCAACTTTATTAGTTATTTTTTTGCTTTGGAATGCTGCTCCTGATTGGTAAACTCAGTGATTTAAAAGCACTGTGGTGCCACTCGGCAGAGCGTAATATATTTGTGTTTCAAATTTAATCAGAAGACTCAGCGGTTTGAATATGTTGCCATTCGTTTTAGATTAAAGCGGTTTAAAATCAATAAATGCAATTCTTTATCTCTGTCATTATTAGTTACTATCTAGACACGTGAAATGAATCTAGGACACTGGACTCATTAAAATAATTATATAAATTTTCTATATTTTCCTTTTTATAAAAATTATTTTATGTGCCTGTCTCCACAAACATCTAGTGATTAAAAATTAAAAAGCACAGCAAATGTTTTTTTATTATGTATATATATATATATATATATTAAAGTCACCTCACCGTAAAAGAAATTATTCTCATACAATAAATCACTTCTCTTATGAGTGTTCTGGTGGTGTAACTAGTAGGACATTTGGCTAAATCGGAACATCTGGAGTTCGAAACCTGGCGAGAGCACAGCTTTTGATTTTCTTAAAGCTCCTGCGGGAAACTCTTATTTTTACAAAATTAAGAATTATGTTTCATCAAACAGACAGTCGCTTTAACATGACCCCATTAAGTTACAATTCGTTATGCTGCAGTTAATGAGAGGATGGCAGCAATCATCTCAATCTTACCTTACCCAACCATTTCTGAACAGACGTTTGCAAACGTCTGTTCAGAAGCTAATCTATAAAATTTGTATAACAAACTTAGAGCAAAGCTTGGAGACTTCTATCAAATTTGTATTACAAACTTGGAGCAAAGCTTGGAGACGTTTGCAAACGTCTGTTCAAAAACTTAAAGCAAAGCCTTGGAGACTTTTTACACAGTGAACACAGTGAAAAGAGAGTAAGAGCTTAGATTTAGATGTATCTTTCTATAACTGGTGTATAGACCAGTTATAGAAAGATACATCTAAATCATTTTTTAATTTCAGACCGAGCCTAGCTAAGGTATTTCTTCGTTTTTAACAAAATCGTTAATTCCAACCGAAGCACAGCCGAGTCTTAAATAAGACGAACTGTGATACTTTGTTGTACAACTGAATCGCAGTATTAACGGAAAATTCTGTTGGTAATACAACATTTTACTTAGCAATAAGTAAAAATTTATACAGGACCCCCCTGTCTCACTTTCCACGAGAGGAGCAAAACACGCTGAAAAAAAAATGGCTTTCCATGCGAAGAGAAAAACACGCTTAAAAAAATTTGAACATTTGAGAAAGAAAAACTTCTTATATCGAAATGCAATTCTATGGAAAAGAATGCGTGTGTGATTATGGCAAAGCCTCGAGGGCTATCTGCCTAAGAGGAGGGATGCCTTTCTAAGGGAAACTGGCTCGTATACACGTTGCACATGGGGAAAACCACGAAAACGCCCATGCAGCCAGCCCGTTCGCGGGATTCGAACCTCGGACCGAACTACCAGTGTTCAGTGACTTTACCGCTCGGCCACTGGTGGGCCGAGCACAACAACTGGTGGGATAATGGAAAAGAGGAATGTTTATGGTGTGTGCCTATGTGGTTCAAAATTCTCAGACTGTAATCATCTAGTGTACGTTGTAAATGGATTAGAAGCCAAAATAAAAATACAGTTCCTTTCTTTTATTTTCACTAATCTCTTATTATAATTTATTTATCGTCATTAATAATTTTTATCTCTGTGCGTTTTATTTCATGTCATTTTTTAGCTATTTATAATTTTTTTTTAACTACCATTTAATTGATTTAGTTTCATTCACTGTCCCTGACAGTTCCCGAATTGTTAATTTTAGAAATTAAGCCCTGTTCCTGATATTTCTGTCGACTTGACATAATATTTCTGTCGATTTCTGTCGACTCGCTTAACACTGAACGGCCGCCGTTAGGGCGGCAAAAAAAGTCAGTAGCAGTGAGCAGTTTCTAAAGTTTTTTCTGTTGTCTGAAGATACTCCATCTCTCGTAAGAAATTTCAACTACTCTATATTCACATTCTCTCTTGCCTTCTCAAAATAAATAAATAAATAAAAAAATCTGAAAGCTTTCATATTTTACATTACGCCGGGGCGTTTTCGTAATGTTTTGTAGGTTACCTTTATTTATTAAATATCCTATTCTTCGCACTTAAACCATAAAATTCAGTTCAACAGCAATATCGCAACATAAATTTTAAAATCACCATATCTTTAAAATTTCCGATACACAGTCTCGTGCGCTGGAAAAGAAATTTTTTTTTTTTTTTTTTTTTTCGTACAGTATTGCCATGGCTCGCTTTGAAATCGCTGAGTTTGTTAATAAAAAATTCGTTAAAGTTTTAAAAAATATGAAATAGAAAATAAAACAAATTCAAAATTTGGGCTTCCATATGCCCATATTCGGGTGGAAACGTAGGTTATTCAAAATTGGATGGCTCTAGGTACAGTCGTTTTATCCAGTGCGACAAACATACATACATTTACGCATATTCTTCATCATCTAATTACTAAATATAATACAGGGCTGTAATATTTGGTGGCAACACTTTGCAAGGTGAAACAACATTTAAAGTTTTCAACGCAAAATGCCAAAACGAAATTAATAGTCCTTCTGGGCTAATAAAATAATAATAATTATAATTTTTGAAAAAGTCTGAAAGCTTTCAGCTTTCATATTACCCCAAAGGGACCTTTTTTTTCTCTTTTTTAATTTACACGCACACGTACGTTTCGAGAACATTTAGGCTAACGCCCCCCGCTGCGTTAAAAATATTTAAACGCAGCATATCTTTAGAGCTTCTGGTAGACTGTCTCGCGCGCTGGAGATAAAACTATTTTGTTCCGTAGAGTGCTGCCACTGCTTGCTTTGAAATCGTTGAGTTTTTTTATTCAAAAATTCATTTAAAGTTCTACAAAATATGAAACAGATAATAAGACAAATTCGAAATTCAAAATTCGGGCTTCCAGGTGGCCATATTTGGGTGGAGAACTATGCTATTTAAAATTTGATTGATTTTTTTAAAAATATAATACAGGGCAATAATATTTGTTAATAACAGTTTGAAGTGATTCAACGCTTTTAGTGATTCGACACAAAATGCCGTTTCGAAACTAATGGCCCTTGTGGACTAACGTCCCTTTGGGCTGATAAATAAATTCCTACTAATAAACAAAAAACATATGTATAAAGAAATAAAATAAAAACAAATAAATTAAAGTGTTGTAAACTGAAAATATCAGATTATGATACAACAGATCGAAGATTTATCATTACAGTTTTTAAATATGTAAAATAAAAAAAAAAAAAATAAAAAAGAGAAAATACATAAAATTCTTAAGATTTAAAAAGAAATTGTAATTTGATCTCGGTATGCTATTTAAGAATTAATCGTCTAAAAATTAAAAACATATAACATAAATATCACCTGCCTGACATGAATACTTTCACAGAAGATCATAATTATCTGAAACATAGGTGGTAGTCTTCAGTATCCTTAAACGAGAACGTGAACTTATTTTAGAAAACTAAGTTCACATAAATATTAAAATTCATGTGAAGAAATGAAGAATTTTTTGCTTTGGAATGTTGCTCTATACCACTTGGATTTGACTGGAAGATGAAGTTACATTGAACTCTGTTTAAGATGACCACTCGCCGTTCTATAATTTTGGTCTGATATAAATATTCTATTTACTCTCTCAGAAACAGTGGTTACGTTTATAAGTGGTCGTCTTAGGGAAGTGCTTCTCAGGAACGAGTTTGTTGTATTTTATGCTACATAATATAGTTACTAAATTTAAATGCTTTATTTTATCTATCAAATTACTTTCAGCTTCATATTCACCAATAAAATTTCGCTATGCTGACTCAATAAAATGAACAGTCAGGAAAATCTAATCTAGGGGAATTTTGGAGAGTGTCACGACTGCGAAATAAGTTCTTTAAAAAACTTTAAACATATAAACACAATAATTATCTTAAACCGCACATGTTTGTCACGCGTTTCGAATCGTTTGTCATCATTGACTTAATGACTTACCGACCTTCAGACTTAATGTTTGCTGTTTTCTGTGGGAAGGTCAGAGCAAATATTACTAAGCAGAAGAATTTTCAGTAGTCACGGATCGTTACCCTTTTTCAACGGATTTTGTCTAAAATAATAAAAATAAAATAAGAACTGTCAATAATATTTTCGAATGTAACGTTTCTAATTCTTACAAACATCGGCGCGCATTTAGTTAACAATAAAACAGAAGCCCGTGCATAGTGACAGAACGACTCTCAGCTGCCTCTCTTCAAACATGATTCAGAGATCAAATTTCTTTTTACGATAGCGTTATGACGTAGTTTCGGATGACTTACGTTGTAGCTTCGAAGCCAATAGCTTCAGTCAGTAAATGCTCAATCTTTTATTAGGAATTTACAGTGGAATCGTCTTGTTTTCGCATACATTGCGTGGCGACTGAATAGTTAAACGTGTGTTAGAGATTCTACAAATATGTGTACAAATTATCAACTGAATATGTTATAAAATAATATACAATAGACCCCAATTAACCAGAGTAATACCTGGTTAATGCGATAGCAGTTTTTTAAAAAAATTAGATAATAAAGAGGAACGACCTACCTGTATTCTTAACATCTTAATTCGAAGAGTAAGCTCATTTAGCTACGGTTATTTGGTTTGGTTTTGCATTAAAACGGAAGATCTAATTCCTATACGATGAACAAAACAAAATATATATTGGGCGAAGATTTGCGTTACGGAAAAGCTCCCTGATAAGAAAGGGAAATTAAACGTAACAAGATGTTGCCATGTTGCCAATTATTAAAAGTTAAATAAGAATTCGAATGTAGGTTTTTTTAATAGGTTTGGGTTAAATCAACATCAGAAAAACTGTTTTCGTTTATATTACTCTTGTATTTCGGCAGAAGTCCACGGGAAACAGAAAACGAAACACGTAATTTATTTTCGCTATTTATTTATAAATTTATTTTTAACAGATGCTTTAATAATGTTTATATATTTCAGATTATGTGCAATAAAATAACGCACTGTTCTGACAGTGTGACATCATCTGTTATCACTGCTATTATCCCATGCATTTTCTTCCATTTTGTATATGTTGGAACTTTTGCCTTATTCCGATACCTTGTGATAGGGATTTTTCTATTGTTCAGTAATAAACAAATTTAATCTTATTTTTAGACAAAGCCCTGTTAATCCTCGATTTTAAACCGGGAGTTTAGTTTAAATTTTATCAGTTAGATACGCTTTTAAAATATGGGGCCCATTATTAAAATATGGGGCTTTTCTTTTCCGCTTCGCTTTGCTTCTAAATTATGCACGCATAGTTTGCTGCTCCTCTTTGTACTTTATCTAAAACTTTGCAAGCTGTACAAATTGTAGGGTGCATAGCACACATAAATGGTAATGTATGAATCTATTTATGCGTATCAAGGTTTGCTGTATTAAGAAAATAAAAACTATGCTGAAATCAACGACCACGAAAGCTTTCCTTCTTCGTTATTTCATCTTCTCAGATATCCACGTTGCTGTTTTTTTCTGATTCTCAAGATACACGGCTCGACATTGAAAATGCAATACCCAGAAAGAGTGATCAGAAAGTGATGAAATTTGGAAAAAACACAGAGACAGCAAGCAGCAATAAGTGATCTTTATTTCAAAATGATAGTCAGAATACAGAGCGAGAACGGCGCCGGCTCAGTAGGATGTAGGACCACCGCGGACAGCGATGCACGTCTAGGCGTAGAATCAATAAGAGTGCGGATGGTGTCCTGAGGGATGGCTCTCCATTCCCTTTCAACCATTTGCCACAGTTCGACTTCTGAAACGAGGCAGGGCAGAGTCTGCAAACGGCGTCCAATCACATCCCACAATGTTTGATTGGTGACAAGTCAGGAGAGTATGATGGCCAGGGAAGCATCTGTATACCTTGCAGAGCATGTTGGCAGATGAGAGCACTGTGTGTTCGGGCGTTATCCTGCTGAAAAATTGCATTAGGCAGCACTTGAAGGTAGGGGATTGCCACCGGCTGCAGTACATTATTCAAGTATCGTTGGGCCATCATAGTGCCCTGAATACAAACTAGAGGTGACCGGAATCGTAGGCAATAGCGCCCCAAACCATTACGCCACGTTGTCGCGCGGTGGAGCGTTCCACAGTTACTGCCGGAGTAGATCTGTCTCCACGTCGACGCCACACACGTATGCGGCGACTGTCACTGGATAAACAGAAGCGTGACTCATCTGAGAACGCGACGTTTCGCCATTCTGTCATCCACATCGCTCCAGTCCGGCACCATTCTAAACGTTAGCGTCTATGCTGTGGGGTCAATGGCAATCTTCTTAACGGACGCCGTGAGTGCAGGCTACGTTCAACCAATCGACAAGAAATGGTTCTGGTCGACACGGCAATATCCAGGGTATCTTGCACATGCTGCAGAATCGCGGTACAAGTGACTTGCAGGACCGCCACAGCTTGTCGGTGGATGCGTTGATCCATGCGTGCTGACGTCACTCCGGCTGCACCTGCACCCCTCCTTTTTCCCACATTTCCTTGTTCCAACCATGTTCGCCATAGCCGATGCACCGTGCTCGCATCCATGTGGGTATCAGCTGCGATTTGACGTAAGAACCAACCCGCCCTTCTCAGTCCGATCACCATACCCCTCGTAAAATCGCGTATCTGGCTGGAAGTGCATCCGTTGACGGCGGCCTGGCATTCTCTTCTATTACACGTATCCTCCGGGACAAAAACCAACTTTCTTCGATAATTCATCTGGCAGAAATAACGACACGAATATTGCCCATTCTGCACGTTCATTCCCTTATATCTTACCTCACGTGCGTCGGAAAGCTGCGCATTTACATCATTCGCATAACTCAGTGACGTGCGTCTACTCTAAAATTTGCATAAATTTCTGACCACTCCTTCTTGGTGTTGCATTTTCAATGTCGAACAGTGTATTTACAGAATTTATATAACATATATATGTATATATTGCAATTATGTGTATTACAAGTTTGGTGCTACTTTTGACCCAAATTAAGCTATTATTTTTTTCATCGTTGCGCAACATCCTTAAACAGTAATAAACTTGATAATTTTGTAACCTTTTCCTCTAGCAAAGTCCACCAGTGGCCGAGGGAATAAAATGCTGAGCACTGTTAGTTCGACCCTGGATCTATTCCAAGCGGAAGGATTAACTCTGGCCTTTTTCATATTCTGCCCCACCCCTATATACAGGGTGATTCGCTACCGCGTATACAAACTTCTGAGAAGGGTATGCCACTCAAAGACGAATGAATCGGAATCAGATAGTTATACAGGGTCGGAAGCGCAATCTTAACGCGATAGAAGGAATTGTTTGGGAACTAGTAAATGTCCGGGCAGAAAAGAAAATCATTCGAAAACCGCCTACAGAGGTAGTAGGATGGAAGGTTTCATAAATGCGAAGTAAGCAGTTATGCATAGTGATAATATAGGGAGTTGCTGACTGTAATGAGCGAGCTGCTGATTGTATCTGTAGCGGTAAAGCGAAACGTATTTCGAACCACCAGACGTCTTCTGTGATTGCATCAAAAATGACGTGATACAGGTTCCTTCGAAAAACATGCCATGAATCGGGACCAACGGCACAGACCTTGAAATCGAAGAGATGGTGCTTCGTCAAGCAAAAGACAGTCCATATTACAGTATACGAGCAATCGCTACTCACTTCAGTCTTCTGCAGATCATGGGGGTCTGTAAAGGGCCGTTCCTATTGAGGTTTATCTGAGCTAACGAAGTCAGTTCCACGTGTCGACTAGCTCCGCTGTACCTGCAGTTCAGATTTTTCAACTTGCTGCCCAATGGGAAAAAACTGGTTTTGGAGATGGGTCAGCTACGTCAGTTGTGTTTGTTAGCTCAGATAACCCCCAGTGGGAACGGTCCTTAAGAACCCTGAACTCGAACCAGTTACATCCATACCCTACACGAGCAGCATGTATAACTGCTGCAGCCGCAGAAGATTCGTTGCCTTTCCCCAATAATATCTGCAAGGCTTCCTTCTTATTCACACCAGCAAGGCTGCTCAATGTACATAATTCGCATGTATCAACGGTGGAGAACTCCCACGCTACACAGAAATGTGCAGCGTAACACGAGTCTGTTATCTGTGTTTAGTTTTGCATTGTGTGTGCCAAGTCTGGCATTGTGGGTCCATATCTCTTGCCTTTTCGTTTAGGTGGATGGTTGTGTATGAGTTTTTTTAAAGAAATCTTAAAGCAATCACCCAGCAGTTGCTATGCTATAATATATGGTTCCCGCATGATTAGGCCCCCAACCCATTCAGCCGTGCCATTAGGAAGCACTTAAATACAACATATGGACAACAATAGATCGAATGTAGCGGTCCCATTTATTGGCTTGCACGACTGCCGGACTATACTACATGGAATTGTTTTACCCCTGGGATTGTAGAAACATTAGGATTTTTTTGGAAGCAGGAGATGTGAAAATGAGTAGCTCATTCGCCGGGTCTCGAACCACGGACCTCTGGAATACGTGCTGACCACTACACTACGAAGCTAAGAAGGCGGGAGAAATGCCTTATTAGGGTAACTTGAAAGATCTGGTGTAAGATACACTATGGATAGCGAGGAGGATGTTATCGAACACGTCTGCGTAACTGTAGTGGCAGCCCAAGAGACACTCGGAATATTTCAAAATGCATGTGATTCCAGGCTGCGCCAACATCAGGCTCGTATCACAAATGGAGGATGAATTTCGAATATTTTCTGCGACTTCTTTTAATAACGTAATTATTAAATTTTGATGAATAATATAATATTTTTCACTTATGTGCTGCTTTACATTTCCCATGTCTTCTGCACACTTGTACAAGAAGATGTTGTTTCCAACTCTGCTTTTTCGATTCGCTTCTGAATAAAGTCCCTTTCCAGAAATTTGTATACGCAGTAGCGAATCATTCTATATAACGCGAAGAAGGGCCATTTTACACCAGAAAATCCCTCCAAAGCCAGATAGCCTCAACCAAGCGCTTTGCCATAATTGATCAAACAAAAATTTCACAGAGTAAAAAATCCAGATTAAAGAATCGTGGCACAAATAAATATTCTTTGTTTGGGATACAGAAACTGCTTACACTTTTAGCACGAATTTTATGCAATAAAACTAAAGTTTTATGTACAAAAACTTATTCTTAAATTGCTTATTAGCTGATCTTTTTCTGAATTACTAAGCTATAATTGATTTAAAAGTCCTTTCTTGCAATTAGCTTAGGTAACTCGCAGCAGTCTTCCACTTTTTTTTTTTTTTTCCTCCCAGAGTCTTTGTAATGTTACATTTGCTTGTTTAGAGATTATGAGAAAAGCACACAAAGGGTAGCTGTCTGGGAGAGGAAAACCCGCATGGCTGATTTTCTAAGGTAAGCTGGCTGTGTGAGAGGGAAATTGGATGTGTGATGGGGAATTCCTGTGAGAGATGCGGTAAATTTGAATGTGCCTATGTTGCCAGCCTGTTCGCCGAAATTCGAAAATAATAGCGCAGCTATGTCTCACATAATTACGTCTTTTTTTTTTTTTTTTTTTTTTTTTTTTTTTTTTTCTCCTAAAAATTAAAAAGTGTACAGTTCTCTATGTGAAGGTCATCTATGATGAAATAATATTATAGCAAACTTTTCCACTACAGTTTGATCTTGCTATTTTAAACAACTCATTTTAAATTAGA